TTAAAATAAATATAAGACAATTCCCTCCTTAAATTAAAGAGAGGCAATATCGATGCTAGATCAAATCTCTACTATCATGCTAGAAATCCAAACATTTTACATATTTTGCTTGATTGAATTGAATGTCATAAGTTGATACAATGGTATATATATCTAAGCTAAAGAATATAATAACAAAGGAAAATACAATAAAAAACTATATTCTAAATGATGAGAATACATTACCTTTATAAATTTTTACTATAAATATTAGATGCATATTTTGATATATATTATTTATATAGTTAGAAATAATTCAAATACTCTAGCATAATTTTTTACTATATATATTAGATACATGTTCTAATAATTGTGAACAAACAAGCAAACAGGAAAATCACAAAGTCAGTAAAAATGTGCCAGCTGTTATTTCAGTTGCGATCAAACGCATTCCGTCGTTTTTTCTGTTTCTAATGTACGACCAATACCTGTATGAAAATCTATAAATACCGATGTAAAGAGGAAATAAAGGAAGACTATTCTTCATCTAATTCTTACTGTCGTCTTCTCTTCACATGTCAATAGATATAATCATGTTGTCATTTAAATAAGATTGATGATATCTTGAGCTATTCTCATCATTTCCTTCTTCATACCTCTCAAACATAAAAGAAAATGTCTGAAATAGAAAAGAAGAAACTTCTCTGGCCTCCATGGCTGAGCCACTTCAATAGATAATGCCCCATGCACCATTCTTCCACATCCATTCCTGCTCCACCAATCACTCACCTCATGCTAACAAGATCAAAAACTGGACAATGAAAATGCAAGGAGTGAAGAAGGTGATGTGAAGCAAGGGGCTCAGGTGTTGGCCTCGAGGTACTATTTGTTCCCCTCTCGATCGTCTTAGGGGTTGGCCTCTACCACTTCCTAGGCCCTAGGGCCTCTGCGTTAGCTCATCTTCGGCCAGATAATTGATTCATGCTGCTTCGAATAGATTCCTTCCGATCGATTCTTTGCTGGCAATGCCTGTCTTTGACACTTTTCTGAGAAGAGCGGTGGAGGCTTCTGTGGTGTCCAAGTCATGAGCTTTGCTGTCGTGAGGACCCTTTTTTTCGCGGTATTTCTTCCCGATTATTGGCATTTTTACTGGATTCGACAATATTGCTTGCTTGTGTTGGAGCGCAATATGTGCAGATTATTGCTCTGGTAATTAGATTGTTTATTTTGTTGCGTGTACGTTCATGTTTGTTTCTAGGAATTGCATGGTGTGATGTTGGGAGTTTGAGCTTATATTGAAATAGAAATAGAGCATGGGTGGTGCTCATTGGAGTTTCTTAGGGCTGCAAATGAACTGACAGAAACTTGCTCTAGAATGAACTCATTTGTCAAAACCCTGTTTGAGCTGGAGTTCAAATTCAACACGATTATTTGCAGTGGTGTTCAAACTCAATTTGTTTAATCTTGTGATTTTTTAGTTGAGTTTGAGCTCGGCTCATTATCTAACTAAATGAGTTTTATCAAGCCTATTACGAGCAGAACTGAACAAATCTTATTGAGACTATTAATGACAACATATTGAGTTTAAAATTGAGAAATGAACTATTAAATAAATGAATATTTTAAACAAAATTGTACTTTTATCAATTGAGTATTTATAAAATGTTCAAATTTATTTAATTACTTAATTAAATGATCATAAATGAATTTTAAACAAGCTGAGCCATAAGTAGCCTGTCGAGTTTATCAAGTTTGTGGATTAATTTACAACCCTATAGCTTGTCATCTGGGTCTATGTTGCAATGACATTATTTCGTTTTTCTAAAAGCTTGAGTTTTCCAATACACGTAGAAATTTATTGGACATATATGGCATTCACCAAAATATAGCTGAAGTTGGCATTTCTCAAGTGGGATACTTTTAAATTGTTCTCTAGTGTTTTTTTATATATGAATTAGAATCGAGAGCACTAAATGAAGCAATGAATAAACTATAACAAAGTATCCCATTTAGTTTATTCATTGCTTCATTTGTTCAGTTCTGCTCGTTAATAGGCTTGATAAAACTCATTTGGTTAGATATTGAGCTGAGCTCAAACTCAACTCAAACTTCACAAGTCTAAACAAATTGAGCTTGAACACCAGTACAAATAATCGTGTTGAATTTGAGCACCAGCTCAAACAGGGTTTTGACAAATGAGTTCAATCTAGAGCAAGCTTCAGTCGGTTCATTTGCAGCCCTAAGAAACTCCAACGAGCACCACCCATGCTCTATTTCTATTTCGACATAAGCTCAAACTCCAAACGTTACATCATGCAATTCCTATAAACAAACATGAACGTACACGCAACAGAACAAACAATCTAATAACCAGAGCAATAATCTGCACATATTGCGCTCCAACACAAGCAAGCAATACTGTCGAATCCAGTAAAAATGCCAATAACCTACAAGAAATACCGCGAAAAAAAGGGTCCTGATGACAGCGAAGCTCATGACTTGGACATCATGGAGGCCTCCACCGTTCTTCTCAGAAAAGTGTCGAAGATAGGCATTGCCAGCGAAGAACTGATCGAAAGGAAGCTATTCGAAGCAGCATGAATCCATTATCTGGCCGAAGAGGAGGTCACGTAGAGGGCCTAGGAAGTGGTAGAGGCCAACCCCTAGGAGTACGATGGAGAGGGGAACAATTAGTACCTCGAGGCGCTCTCCCCCATTCTATCCATTTCTATTTCTTGCTTAGCTGTCAACATTTAATTTGTCATCAGCTCTTTGCCTTCATCAAGAAATGGGTGAATGGGGCATGGCCCAATTCCACGTTTATATCTAAGGAGATCAAAATCCCCTTAAGCTCTACTATGTCTTTAAAGCTTAGCCTTTTCCGGGTATGTAATTTTCATTTGATTAATATACGGGCTTTGCCCCAAATTTTTCAAAAAAAAAAAAAACAACCACTCCATCTGTCACAAAGCAGCAGTCACGCTTCCTTCTGCTTTCAATTTTGTTTATTTCAGCAACGCTTCCATCTATTTTTGTTGTTTATTTAACTGCACTTTTACTTTCGCTTTTCAAAAGAAGGTGGCGTCACTTTGTGGCAAATTAAGGTCTACAGGTCATTCCCCTTAAGTTCTACTATGTCTTTAAAGCTTAGCCTTTTCCGGCTAGTGTGGCGTTCGGCCTTTGTGGTGGCGACCACAGTGATCTCATTGTTTCGACGAAGTTATCTCTACCCGGTGCTCTTGGAATTTGGTCGTTATTTACGGTAGAAAAGTACATTGCAAAGAAGAAGGTGCCTAAATGGAGTTTGAGGTGGGCATGTTTACAAATGCTGAGCTTAGCTTGTCGAGTTATTTCTTTGGCCTCCATTGTTGGACTTGGATCCATCGCGGCTGTAGTGATCACCGATCTTAAGGTCTACTGGTCACTCAAATCAGGCTCTTAAACAAAAAAAAATATTAAAAAAGAAAATTGAAGGCCTTAATTTCCTTCTTGCTTCTTTGCTTGTCATGGTTGAATAATAAAAGGCCCCTGCAGGCGTACAACAAATCTATGATCCACCGACGATGTAATAAGGCATATTAATAAATATATGAAATGTTTGATGTTTCTCACTGTAATACAATCTTAATTTGCCTCTAGCATATGTGAGTGTACGTACGTTTATCTAGCTCTTCCTACTCCATATAGTTCTTGGATAACTATTTATCAGCTTTCATACTTGTATTAATGATTATTCATAATTGCTCACCTTCTTCGAGGATTTATCATGGCTCTTTTCAAATGAGATATATATTTGCTTGAAATCTTCCTCCCCAAATTAAGTTTTTATTTGAAAGTTCTTCCATTACCGTCTTCAATTTTGGCATGCAAAATTTTGGCTTGTAATTTTTATTGAAAGAAATTGTTAATCACTAAAAATATAACCAAGAAAAATGGAGGAATTGATGGCAAATCTCTTCTTGGTGAGACACAATATAATGATGATCGAAACCAAGCAAAAGCAATAACAAAATCAAGTAGAATTGTGAGAAACAGAACGAAATTAACATCTCCTTGGTGAGAGACAATAGCAACAAACCTAACAAGCAAAAGCAATGAATCAAATAGAATTGGGAGAAGCATTGTTTGCAGGTGAGATATGTGATTGTTGTAGGTGACAAGAGAAATTGATGGAAAAATGTCCTTGGCAAGAGATCAGATAATAAAGACAAGCGGAACTAATCGAAATCAATGAAACTTAATATATATAATTAAAAGAAATATAAAACAAATCCCTCCTTAAATTAAAGAGAGGCAATATCGATGCTAGATCAAATCTCTACTATCATGCTAGAAATCCAAACATTTTACATATTTTGCTTGATTGAATTGAATGTCATAAGTTGATACAATGGTATATAAGCTAAAGAATATAACAACAAAGGAAAATACAATAAAAAAATATATTCTAAATTATGAGAATACATTACCTTTATAAATTTTTACTATAAATATTATATGCATATTTTGATATTCTTTATATAGTTAGAAATAATTCAAATAACTCTAGCATAATTTTTTACTATAGATATTAGATACATGTTCTAATAATTATATGGCAAAGAATAATCTTAGTATCTCTAACAGTTATAACTATATACTATACAAGAAGATATTGAAACTGATGCAAGGATTTTAAGCTTTGTCAAATACAAAGGTATCTCAATAATAAGGAACAAGAAGATAGGAAAAGTTATAGATGATAACAGGAGTTGATGTTGCATGGTAATTAAAGTCGATCGGACAGTGATGGATAAAGCTTTAGAATGCTCTATAAATCTCATATTTCTCTCTACTAAAAATCCTCCCATTGAATTTGTAGATTCGAAGCTTATTTATAGATTTTGGCATGAATAAAAATATTAGACATGAAGTTTTTTGTGTTAAGAGTAGTTTTCCCAATCAGATCTATTAGATATGATGGTAAAGTTAAGAGTAGTTTTCACTTTATTATTTTCATAATAATTTATAATTAATTGCAATCAACTTCAACCGTTTCAAATTGTATTAGTCAGCTTCTTCCAACTCTTTGGCCTGTACATGCAGAAGCGAATCTATTAAGAGTATAACGATCCAGTCGAAGGAATATGGAAGTCTGTGCATGGCAATATATTCGTTTGATTTGATCAATGAAGATGTTATTTATTTTCTGTTGTAGAGCCTGCTATTGAAAATACAGGCTGTTAGTTTTATCTGCCACATGGTAGCTTAAGCACTGGAGATTCAACAAAATTATTCCTCGATGATTTTGGAAGATTGTTGATATCAATAAATACATGTATTCTATCGATCATTAGGAATAATTCTCTGTGATTTTTATAATTTTTTTTATTTGAAATTGGTGCCAGCATTTTAAGCATTGTAAAATCCATAAATAAAAGCTGAAGCTCGCCATTGCAAATATCTTGCAGTGTCCAGCAAATTTTGATTCTTATGGTAGGGTTTTCTATTATTTATGCCAGTAAGATTTGGCATAAATAACCGGAAAAGGTTAAGCTTATAGGACTTCGTAGAACTCAACCGGATTCTGATCTCTTTAGAGATAAACTTGGAGTCCGGCCATGTTCGATTCGCCCATTTCTCAATGAAGGCGAAGAGCGGCTGACAAAAGACTTTGTAAGCTCCCACGAGGTGAATGACAATGGCGGCGTTGGATATGTCGAGAAGCCAGAATGGGTTGTAGAAGCCGAAGCCGGTTAGAAAATTACCAGGCGCAGAGTCGCCGAAGGCGCCGTAGCCCATACAGCCGCAAACCATGTTCTCTCTACTTGTGAAGCTGAATATGTTGCTGCATCATCATGTGTATGTCATGCAATATGGCTAAGGAAGTTGCTGAAAGAGATTGGATACTCTCAAGTCGAAGCTACAAAAATCTTTGTTGACAATAAGTCAGCAATTGCATTATCAAAAAATCCAATTTATCACAAGAGAAGCAAACATGTTGATGTTCGGTTTCATTATATAAGAGACCAGATCAAAGATAAAGAAGTTCAAGTGGAGTATGTGAAATCTGAAGATCAAATTGCATATATTTTCAGAAAGCCATTAGCTGCAGAACAGTTCATAAAATTAAAGATACTTCTTGGAGTGGTTGATAAAAATTTTGGTTTAAGGGGGAGTGTTGAAAATATAAACCAAAATTAATGTTTAAGTTTTTTGTGTATCTAGTAAATTGTATGGAAGAAATATCTAGAATATGCAATAACTTTTAGTGGTTGGTGGTTGGTAGTCTTTATTATAGAAATCTCTAGAATAGGTTTCTAGAATTGTCTTTGTACTAGTATAAATAGGCATTGAGTCTTGTCATATGGATGTAAGAGAGAAAATTTTATAATAGAAGTTCCTATTATTTTTATCCTCTTCCACTCATTTAGAATAATTTCTCTCTAACATACTTGGATTTCGATGAGGATCATGGAGTATGAGTAAGCGAAGACGATGTCCCCGAAAGCTTGGAGGCTGCGCCAGACCTTCTCAGTCTGGGTTACAGAGCCTATGCTGATTCCAGTAAGGCTCCCTTTGAATCCACCGTTTGCTGTTCAAAACAAGAGAAAAAAAAAAGTTTTTTTTTAAAAAAAATAACTTTTTCATTGCAGAACTTGAACGGAAATTGATTTAAAAAGTTTGAGATGCTTATCAACAACTTGAGCAATGCCGAGGGCCAGGCCAATGGAAGAGTAGGTGAAGGACATAACTGCAGCTACAATTGAGAGCCACCAAATCTGATCAAAATCAGGGATTTGAGAAAAGACAATTTGTGTGACGCCGAAGATGATCATGTAGGGATTGCTTGAGACATGGCATCGGCTTCTGTGTCCTTTCTCATGGAAGCAATTTGATCTCCGAATTGCCCTGTTTTAGAAAACTTAAAAATTAGCTTAGATGGTAAAAAGGTGATTTCGACAATTTGAAGAGCGGGTACTCACATCATACTAATGGAGGAAGCAATTGCGTATCGAATGGCTACTCCAAAGAGATTCAGATACTGAATAAGCCCGCAGAGTTTCACTTTCATTCCCCCTGAGAAATAATTATAAGGGTAATTAGATCAAAGCTGAGAGCTTTTGAATTATCAAAGGTTAGTTAAGAGGGAACGAACCGAGATAGGAATGGACGGCGGCGCTGTAAGTGTAATTACGCTTGCCGGTGATGGGATCGCCGGTTCTGTAACAGTCAGCGAGGAGAGAAGAAGTGTAGAAGGTGACGAAGGAGAAGATAATCATTACAATGGGACCGGCGATGCAACCCAGCTGTGCCGACAGCCCAAGCCAGCGATAGCACGCCGGAGCCGATGACAGCGGTGATGATATGAGAACTTGCAGTCCACACAGTTCCTGCAAAAAAGATTCAAGTTTTATTATTTTGTGCAAAAACAGCAGAGAGAAGCGGAGTAGAGTGATACTCAGAGAGTTCCAAGAAAGAGCTCCTCTTCTCTATACATTAAGATTTGATGGATGAAAAGTGACGGTTTTGCGTATGTTATTTATATAAATGGAAATCAGAAACGTGATAGATCTTGCTGTGAGGTGGAGGGAGGTAGGCTACCGTTCATATTCTGATGGTCCCAATTGGGCGGTCAATGATTGCTTTGCCACCATCTCCTATCACTGCAATCTTTCTGTCTGTAGCGTACCTCCACTTATGCACCTAAACGTGGAGGCAGAGGCTGAAAGGAGAAGAAACAAGGAAGAGAGAGAGAAGAGACAAAGGAAGAGAGAGCGTGTGTGACCCAGTAGAGATTTTACAGTGGAGCTGCTTCTTTCTTATACGGTGAAGGTTTTTTTATAGACCTTACTCGGCCTCTGCAATTGAATGGGCCCATTACCAATGACCTAATAGTAGAACTCATATCAATTTTTTATTAGAATTTTAAAGTTTTAAATGTATTTAAAGATGAGCAATCAATTAAGTTTTATACCAGAATTATCTCAAAATAAATTCAAGAAATATAAACTCAATTTTGATCAAGATATTGCTACATAATTATTTTCTTGATTATAACTAATAATTTATATGATCAATAAATGAATGGTATCATCTTGAAGAATTCAATGACATGATTTTAACATATTTAAGTAATAAAAAATGTGAAGGTTAGATTACATAAAATAATTTTAAAAATATTTGTGAATTAAAGATAGGGAAATTAAAAACAAGTTTTTTGTTTTTTGTTAAAAAAATTAAAATATGAAGATGTCTTTAAAATATTTAATGTCTATAGGAATGGATAGTGCTAATGTGAAATTTGATGTATATAGAATATGATCTTTGCACAAAAAAAAAAAAAGAGTCTTTAATTATAAACTAATTAAGTACTTTAGAGTTAGAAGTATAAATGAGCACAACCAACTTCGAGCCGCCTTTAGCTAAGTTTGAACATGACAGAGAGAGAGATCCCTTACCCGATCCCTCTAGAGCCCAGCGACCAGAGCCGCCCAAGCCTCTGCCCGACTCCTCTGTGCCGTTCGACTTTGCTCATTCGACGGCATTCCCTGTTTGTAGGATCGGAGGTTACGACATTTTCTCGGAAGCAATAACGGGAAGTTGCTGGCCGTGGAGGTAACTCTCTCCTTTCATTTGCTTCTTCGGCCGGATCCCATGAATTGTCAAGCCGAGATAGTGGGAGCAGAGGGTTTGTTCTGCCGTGAGATTTTATCAGGATTTAATCTAAATCCTGTATAAATCTTACATAATCATGTTTAATTAATCTATAATTAATTTTAGGATTGAATATAATTAATTATAAATACAATTAATTATAATTGATCTATAATTAATTATAAGTTAAAAATATCTAATTTGTAATTTATTTTAAGTTAATTATAATTATTTATAATTTGATTATAATTAATTATAATTAAATCATGATAAATTATAAGTTAAAATTAATTGATTTATGATCAATTTTAAATTAAAATATAATTAATTTTAATTAATTAATAATAGTATAATTAATTATAATTAATTGAGGTTAATTATAATTAATTATCTTTAATATTAAATTAATTATTATTAATTATAATTAATTTAAGTTAATTATAAATTAGTTTTTCCTGAGCATAATTAATTAATGTTAATCATAATTTGTTATAATTAATTGAGTTTAATTATGACTAATTATTATTAATTCTAATTAATTATGCTCACCTCGATCCGCCGCCGACCCCGCCAAGGTATAACTCTCTAACCCTAAAACTCTGAGAATCCGTTTCAACGCATGCGTTGAGACAAAACGACCACCCATGCATGCTTTTCTTAGCGTGGTGGGAGGGAGTGCGTCCCGACACTTGCGACGAAGCGAGTAATCACCTAAAAATCCATTCTTTGAAATTCGTATCGCCACGGTTTCCCCGTCTATACACGCTTTTCTTAGCGTGGTGGGATGAGAATAAGGTGCGATGCGTACGACGAAGCGGGGATACCCATAAGTACCCGCTTGCGGGGAAATAACTATTTTTCTTGCAAAATACTTTCAAAAATTACTTTCTTGCAAAATATTTTCAAAAAAATACCCATACACGCTTTTCTTAGCGTGGTGGGGGATCAAAAAATTACACGATCACGGTGTCCTCGAAAGAGGGCACCTACCATACACGTTTTTCTTAGCGTGGTGGGAAAGACCAAATTTTTCGTAGTTTCCCCTAAACGGGGAAGACGCCGGAAGGCTGCCGAATATTTTGGGTGAACATAATGCTATATTTGGACCTCATTTGAACTCAAAAGAATAATTTGGGACCTGGACTTGATTGAATGACAAGAAGTTTGGACTTGAAAATGATGCAACAAACTTGAACTCTACAAGGACCATAGGGGACTTTGATTTGGACTTGAACAATAGAACAAAGAGATCAAATTCAAATGAAACTAAACTCAATTGAACTTGAGTTTGATACTTGAATTCAAACAGATGACTTGTGAACAAGGCTTGGACATGGTTGAACTCAAAGGACAAGGATTTGGACATTAACATATTAAGTACAAACTTGAACAAAAAAACTTAAAATCAAGCTTAATCAAGGAGATTTTGAACTCAAAGAATTGAACCATGATGAACTCAAATGAATGTGGAGAACTTGAACTTGCCAAAATCACATGAGACTTATGAACTTGGTTTGAACCAAGTGAGAGGGACTTGCAATGAATATGTGATAAGCAAAGGACAAATGCAATTTATTTGCAATAAAAGAAAAGTAACAAGGTCTTAACTTCCAAGTAATGGTAGAAGATTTTCACATGCATGAATATCCATATACAACGTGTACGATTGTCTACCTACAACATGCAATAAGTGTTTCATGCCTACAAATAAAGAAAGAGAAAGCTCTTAATGAATAAGACAATCCCCTAAAAGAATGATACAAATAACATTGAGCTTGTATTGTTCATGTCAGTTAGTTCCCGAATCTACATAAAGAAGCTTGAAGGCAATAGTGAGTGGAGTTATTAGCAAATGACATGTAAAGGGGACGATAACCCACCAACAGAATATGCTTAGAAACATTATAGCAAATATGGCTTGCATAAAGAAACTGGTAGAGAACGCAACACATATAGCGAGCAACAATAGTTTGCAAATGAGCACATTAATCCACTTGCGAATGGTGATGCTATATGCATTACAGTGTAATGGGTCCTTCTGCAAGCATGGATATGTCGTACAGCGTTCACAAACAAAGGGTTAAAAAAAACTATTATACATACAATAAGACAACAACAAACGCAAGTACCTACCAACCAATGTG